GCAAAACAAAAACAAAAAACCCACCCTCTAGAGTCATTCAGGAAAAAAAAAAAGCTGGGCGCGGTGGCTCACACCTGTAATCCCAGCACTTTGGGAGGCCGAAGCAGATGGATCACGAGGTCAGGAGTTCAAGACCAGCCTGGCCAGCATGGTGAAACCTCGTCTCTACTAAAAATACAAAAAATTAGCCAGGCATGGTGGCGCGCACTTGTAGTCCGGCTACTCGGGAGGCCGAGGCAGGAGAATCGCTTGAACCTGGGAGGCAGAGGTTGCAGTGAGCCGAGATCACACCACTGCACTCCAGAGGCAGAGTCTGGACTCTGTCGGCCAAGGCTGGAGTGCATCCGTGACCGGAATCTCAGCTCACATGCAAGCTACGCCTCCCGGTTTACGCATTCCTCAGGCCTCCGCCCTCAGCCGTCCTGAGTAGCTGGGACTACGAGCCCCGCCACCCTACCCCGCGCCCGCACCCCCCATCGCGGCTAATTTTTTGCTATTTTTTAGTAGTAGGATGGCGGGTTTCACCGTGTCTAGGCGCCATGATGCGCTCCTCGCTCTCCCTGACCGTCATGATCCTCAGGCCCTCCATACCGGCCTCCCAAGTCGCTGGCTTACACAGGCTCTCGAGCGCTCCCCCCGCGCCGCCCCTACCAATCTTTCCCAACAACCTATTCCTGCAAATTTTCTGTGAAAGTTGACCTAACCGTTACAGACTTTACCGTTTTTTCTTCTCACTAGACTACGATCGATTTCATTTTTGGTAAAAGATTATATTAATGGAGGCGGGGTGCGCGCTTACATACTTTTCTCCTTGCTGTCTTTCCTCTAATAGTAACCCGCCCCGTAAGCTACAATTTTGATCTAGCCAATACTAATCGGGCTGCTCCGCGGGCCGGCGCCGGGCCTCCGGATGGCTCAGCTGTAGTAATCCCCAGCACTATTGGGCAGGCCCGACGACTGGGCGGCATGCCACGAGGTCAAGGAGACCTCGAGGGACCCCCATCCACTGGCTAAACACCGGTGAACC